ACATCCCGCATCGTATGGCTGGGCCCAATGGGAAGGACCCTCGCGCACCGAGAGACCAGATAGGATACGGAGTACGTCTCCTGCATGCGCGTGCAGCGCACAAATCGGGCCTCTAGCTGCATGGTTCCTCGTGCACTCACGCGCATATGATTTTCGAGCAGAGGTCATGAGAGACGTCTTTGGAAGGCCGAGTTCCGATTCAACAAATTGTACTCAGGCCCAGAGTTCTGTCCTCTGCTTCAGGCGTCCTCGCGTCGGCCCGGCGGAAAGCCAGCAATCTGAGACAAAGATCTTGACAGCGGGAGGCCTCGGTGACTCCCGTCCTGCCGAATGTTCAGGTATGTGCCTGAGTCAGGTCGATGCAGGATAAATAGACGCGCTGCAAACCCTGGTTGTGGACGTGGCAGAGGCCCCGCTCAGGTGAACCCGCCGCATGCTGCGCTGTAGGCGCCGAGAGCACCTATCGGCTCTACCATTACGCTAATAAATTTCGGTATCGTAAGTGGTGCGATCAATTCCATTTTCTTGATGACAGCCGTTGGTCGGCGAAATGGGTGAAATGGGTGCGCGAGGATGATGGAAGCTCCAACGCTGGGACGGAATGGAAATGACTAAGCCTTTGACACGCTAGCGCCGATTCGGACGGCACGTGTCAGCGGGCCAACTCCGGCAACACGTGAAAGATGTCCATGTCATCCATCTTCATAACTCAACAACACCAATGCTTTTGCTGTCGTGCAACCCCAGAGCTGATGCGTGCATTCTATACCGCCCTTATTTCAGGGCTTCATCGTGCTGTACAAAGTACCTGCACATACTATCTGGGTAGCCGCGACTTGACGGCAATCTTGAAACAGCGCTACCTTGGAGTACAACTAAAGTGCGTGCAATAGTCTTAACCGAGTTATGTTCGACTGGAAGAAGTCCTGCTCGTTGAAGCAGACCTTCGTATGGCGTTATGGTCACCTGTCTGATAAACGATCGACTGCCGGATTGGATTAACATATTTGATGGATGCTGATGACGAAGCTTTCAAGCTGATGCTGAGCGCCGGGCATGGTAACGATCAACTGCCATCTCGTGGTTCACACGCTCGGATAATGTAGAAAAGGGTCTCGATGACGTCGTACAGGCGGGTCGTGCAGGGGTTGGGAGGTGCACCGAAAATCCGGGGGACCATCTCCACTCCCAACCCCTAAGGCTCACGAAGCTTTCCCTGTGTCTCTCACAACTCGTACATTTTCCTTTGTTAGAACGCGTTTCCGTCATTTCCGACAGTGGCAGATTCTCAGCATACCATTCAGGTTTCTACGCGACAGTAGTCGGGCGCGTCTTACGCCACCTCGGATAGCTCCGCACCCCTGAAGCCCGAGTCGCGATGCCTGTCAACACCATCTCTGTGGGCGCGGCTGTGACGCCCACGGTCATCCAGACATATCTCTCGCATTACCTCAATCGCCGACCTCTTGCGCAAAAACCCACGGCGCACATCTCGTATCACGAAGGCCTCGAGCTCATCCGCCGCTTTCTCCACTATGCCTCCTTCCACACGGTCGACGAATTGCAAGCCTTCACGTCGCAATGGGTTCCAGTGCCGCGCTGGGTCCACGTGAATTTGGTGGAGGTTTCCGCGACTCTACTACAGCGCTCAGCTGAACTGCTCAATGCACAATTGGGACCAGAAGGCATCAAGGCAGTCGGAGGAACGAATTGGTGGCAGTGGAGACGCGAAGGCACAACACTCAAGGCCGAGTGGATCGAGATGCGCAAGGACTACGACGCGAGGAAGCAGCTGGCAATCACCAAAGGCGATCGCATAATGCTTTACGTTCATGGTGGCGCCTACTTCTTTGGCAGCGTCGACGAGCATCGCTATCAGATGCAGCGGCATGCGCGCAAGCTCAAGGCTCGGGTGCTGGCGCCCAAATACAGACTCGCGCCTCAGTTCCCCTTCCCATGTGGTCTGCACGACTGTAAGTGGCCTGCTCGATATCAATACAGGAATACTAACACCTCCAGGTCTGGCCGCCTACCTCTACCTCCTCGAACAGAAGCACGACCCTACGACGATTATACTTGCTGGCGACTCGGCAGGTGGCGGCATGGTACTCAGCATGCTCGTGACAATGCGCGACCAAGGCATACCATTGCCCGCAGGAGCCATCCTGATCAGTCCATGGGTAGACTTGACACACAGTTTCCCCAGTCTCGGAGGAGATGGCAAGATGGACTACATTCCCTCGCACGGCTTCATCCACAAGCCGAGCATGAGCTGGCGTAAGTTGGTCGTGTCCCTATCGAAGAGCGATTACTGACCACATACAGCACCTCCCAACGCAGACGATATGCTGGACATCGAAACATCCCTCGGAGGCTCGACCAGGAAGAAGAACATTTCAGAAAAGACGGAGGACAAGGCAGCAAAGAAGGAGGCGGAAGCTGAGCGCGTACGAGGCTACTCCGTCCAATCTGGAGATCGACCACCTCTAGAAGAGGTCGCGGATCCATCAGCTACAGGACAAGGCATGGGTACTTGGATCTCGTCAAATGGCAAATACAGCATTGGACCCAAGAGCCAGCTATCAGTTCAGCTCGAAGATGAACGCGTCGAGATCAAGGACCAGATCCAGATGTACGCCCCGAACCATCTCTTGACACATCCTCTGGTATCGCCGGTGCTACAGCCAACCCTCGGAGGATTGCCACCTCTACTCATCCAAACGGGAGGTGGTGAGCTACTCAGAGACGAGCAGATTTACCTCGCGCACAAAGCCGCGCAACCATTGGCCTACATCCCACCACCTTCCAACAACCAGACTGCTGAGTCCATACAAGCTCAAGCCGCCAGCTACAGGCCCACGAACGTTCAGCTCCAGGTCTGGGATGATCTATGTCACGTTGCACCCACGCTCAGCTTCACCCGCCCGGCAAAGCACATGTACCGTAGTATAGCCCAGTTCGGTGCTTGGGCCCTTGCACGCGCTCAGAAGAAGTCCATCGACATCCTCGACGATGACGACATCTCTTTCATGAGCAGTGATTCAGGCACTTCGTCTGAATCTGACAAGGCTGGCTCTGGTTCTTCGTCGGACGACCCCAAGTCCGCGGACAAACATCCCAAACCCACCAAAGCCGAGAAGAAAGCCGCTCAAGATGCACGCGTTGGTCGAGCTGGTGATGCGATCCCGCCATTCGAACGCCATATGATCCGCCAGCGCATCGATCGACACGGGCGCATCTATGCACTCGCCCCGAAGGAAGAGCTAGTTGCACTGAACATCCCTAGCGTTGATGTGGGCGTGCCCAAGACAGGTCCCGTCAGCAAATGGATGAAAGCGCAATCTCAGTGGAACAACAAGTTCTCCAAGCAGAAGATTAAGATCCAGAAGCAGCGTATTAAGGATATGCAGAAAGGCTTCGAAGGCTTCGAGGGCGAGACACCCCCACCAACTGCCTTGGCTGGTAGAAGGATCAAGGGCATGAAAGCCGAGAAGGCGAAGAAGAGGAGTTGGGGCATGTCGATGTGGGCTGGATGGGGCAGTAAGCATGACTCAGCCACTGTAAGTACACTCACTCTCAACGTCAGCCACGACAACGTTACTAACACGCCTCAGATCGTCCGCGAAGAGAAAGCAGACCAGAACCCCGACACCGAGGCCTCAACCTCTACTCAAGATCCAGCCAATACAGCCATCGACGGCACAACAGAAAGCGCGCCAACCCGCAGCCGAGCCAACAACCTCACCGCCCCCAGCGTAAAACGCTCACGCTCCCACTCCCGCCACTCCGCCGTAACCGACAAAGGTCAAACCGGCCTGCCCCTAGACGATCTCTCCAAAATCGTCCTTCCAACCCCGGGCCTCGCAGACGCAACAACCCTCGCCCCAGAACGCTCTGCCTCGCCCCTTCCCTCCCCTACTAGCCCTACTAGCGAACTCAGCTCCCCCGGTGTTGGTGTTGGTGTCCCACCCAACATCATCGTCTCGGACAACCCCGACAACTCCAGCACCATCATCCCCGAAACGGATACTTTGACTACCCGACCCACGGCTGGTGGGATTGCTTATCCGTTTAGTTTGAAAGTTGATGGCCCGGATGGGAGGGATGTTAATGCTAGTACGCTTACGCTTGCGAGTTTGAATGTTACGACGCCGCCGGTTGGGGATGGGGATGAGGAGGGGAAGCAGCTGGGTAGTATGGTGATGGGGGGTGAGAGTGGTATGGTGCCGGGTGGTGTGAGTGTGAGTGTGAATGAACAGGTTTTGAAGGAGGAGAGACCGGGCGTTGAGCGGTGGTTTACTGCTGGGGCTGGAGCGGGGCTGTTTAGTGATGGTGTGGTGGAGGAGAAGGTGGAGAGGCCGGGGATGGTGGAGAGGCCGGGGGTTGAAAGGTTTGAGACTGCAATGGATGGGTTGGGTATGGGGGCTGCGGGGGATGGTGGGAGGGCGTGATTCCTGTAGGTGGGTAGGGAGCCAGGGACAGATTGAGGGAGTGTGGAAGAAGACGTCAAAATACTGTAGATACCCAATTCCTTACTGTCCGTAATCTTAATATAAACGTACACATTGAATCGCATGCAACCTTTCGCAAGTTACCATTAGCGATGTGCTCGGATATATACATGAAACATGTTCACATGAGGCATTGCGAAGACTATGAGCTTAAGATACAGAATGTATAGAGTGCGCCGTTGACTCAGACTGCGGTATGGTCCTAGTTCGGGCTGGTCATTGAGATGGTACTTTGGTATACGGTATGATTGCGATAGCTTTGATGATATGAGCTTAAGATTACTATGAAAATGTGTAGCTGGAAGGTACACGCGCTATCGAGTTTGCGTTATAGTTCACACCAAGTTCCGCACCGGAGATAACATAACCCCGCATGACATCACCTCAGCATCCCTCAAGGACGACCGCACCACGTCCTCCCCTTCCAATCAACTGACCATACACCCTCAACTCGATCTCTTACAAACTTTCAAATTCTAAAAGCTGAAAATGTCCGTCTTCCGCCCCTCAGCACACGCCCTCATAACAGGCGGCGCATCCGGCGTCGGCTACGCCGTCGCCCAACTCTGCCTAAAACACTCCATGCGCGTCTCCATCGTCGACTTCAACCAATCCTCGCTCGAAACCGCGCGCAAGAACCTCTCCGGCGATGTAAAATGCATCCAAGCAGATGTGTCATCCCGCTCGGACTGGAACTCTATCCGCCAACAAGTCGGCACCGACGTCGATTTCCTCATGCTGAATGCGGGCATTGGCGGAAAGGGAACGTGGGGTGATGAAGACTATTTTGATAAGATTCTGGCTACGAACCTAGGGGGTGTGGTGAATGGTTTGAATGCGTATGTTCCGAGTTTCAAAGAGAGGGCGGGGAAAGAAGGGGAGGGGAAGAGCGCGATCGTGATTACGGGAAGTAAACAGGGTATCACGAACCCGCCTGGTAATCCCGCGTATAATGCTAGTAAAGCGGCTGTGAAGACGTTGGCTGAGCATTTGAGCTACGATCTCAAGGACACCAGTGTTGGGGTGCATTTGTTGGTTCCGGGGTGGACGTTTACTGGGCTTGTAAGTTGTGTTGCTCTTGGTAATTGGCAATGACTAACGCACATCACAGTCTGGGAATGAGCCGGGCTCGACGAAACCGAAACCAGAAGGTGCATGGTCTGCTGACCAAGTAGCAGACTACATGTACGCCAAGATGCAGGCCAAGAAATTCTACATCATCTGTCCTGACGACCAGGTCACGGAGGAAACGGACAAGAAGCGCATGTTGTGGAGTGTAGGCGATATTGTGAATGAGAGACCGCCACTGACGAGGTGGAGAGAAGAATACAAGGACGAGGCTGAGAAGTGGATGGCGGAGCAGAAAGTGTAGATAGACATGCTAAACGATAACGAGTTCGCTCTCCTTGGTCTGAGACAGCTCGAAGCCCCATCCGTGGAAACTTCCAATCCTCTCCCAATACCCATTGTGTATCTTTGACTGGACCAACACAAGACCTTCAGCCAGGTCAGACAACGTGTCAAAAGAACGGACCTGTACGAATAGGATTAGCACGCTTATAGCGGGTTCCGTCAACAAGATATTGCTCTTGAAAGCGGAGTCAGCGTCCCTCCCTGGTACCACAAGATTCGTGGTTTTTAAGACGACATCGTACCGTGTAATCTCCTGTCTACGATCTGTGCGCGTCAGGGTCGCTGCTATCGTCGGCCCAGATATTCTCAGTCGCCCATCACCCACGTGTCCGTAAGGATCAGCGGTCTTTGGTGTGCACGTTACATCAATCACCCGACAGACTGTAACTGTCGTCTTTGCTACCCAGTCTTGGCGAAGTTTTACCGCCGAGACAATCGACGCCCAAGACCATGTGGGCGCCAAGTACTGCAAAGGTCTTGGAAGCACAAGTGGTCTGTCCAAAACTCCACTTACAGACGACCACAACAGCGCTCCAGGGAATTCACGTTCCCATAACCCAGCTAGATATCTACCTAGCTCTAGTAGGGCAATTTCTCGAGCGATTCCAGAGATACCGGGAAGTCGATCGGTCTCAAACGTCAATGCCCGCTGGGAATACTCTCTAACTACTGTGACCCATGACTTCATTCGTAAGTCAGGGTCCGCGGATGCCATCACTGCGGCATAGTAGAGCTTGAATGTGTAAGAGTTCATTGGATATGGGTTGTTAAGATCGGATCTTGCCGGTCGACCCTGGATGGTTTGGCATTCGCACCAGATTTCCTCTTGGCATTCCCACATCATTTCGCGTTCAGTATAGTGGAGGATTCGGCAAGCGAGTAGTCGCTCTTGAAAGCACCATGCTCTATCCAGAAGAGGCATATCAGTGCTGTCTGCTTGCGTCGCAATAAGCGTGTGGTGGGATATCCTTTGTTGTACATGAAAGCTACCAGTGGCCGACTCGGATATGTCATAGCTTGGGATTCTGGGACGTAGACAGCCATCGTCCCCATTTTTGGCGCTTGTCGCGGCGATCACCAAGTACGCGTTTTTGTACAGCGCTGCCATACGGGAAGCCTCTTTAGCCCAATCCCCATGGTCGTCCTGAAAAATGCATAGTGAGTCGATCCAGAGATATGGGACGCCGATGTTCCTGGTGATCGTAATGGCATCCTGGAACGTTTGAGTGAGCTCGGTCCAAAGTATGCCAGACATCCGAGAAGAAAGATTACCCTTGAAGAGCAAGGGCATGGCTTTCATGCGTTCTTCTTCCAACCCCCATGTGTGACTCAAGGCAACGTAGCAGGCACCAGCTGGTATTTCACCCGAGCTGCAAAGCTTGATGTCATCTGAGGATGAACCGACTGAGATGAGCCTCGTTGGCGTGGTTGACATATCTGTCTTAGGAGAGCATTGTGGATGTAGATCGTCGCACTGCCTAATCCATTCTCTGACTGTGTCAAAACACGCTTGGGAGGCAGAATCAGCCAGAACATGTCCTGCTGGCTTGATGTCTGAAAAGCAAGGTGGCTTGTCTAAGAATGGTAAGTGAATGACGTAGGTGCCGTGTCTGTTGTGTTTTCAAACGAACCGGGGTGATTGTAGAAATACAAATCCATAAGTAAGTTCTCTAATCTATTTGCCATATCTGTAGAGCATAACTTCACCCGTAGAGGTGTGTCGGGAGCGTTGCGGATGAGAACCACGAGACCGGGATCGGGCTCGTACTCACTAAGCGTGGCTTCGGCGGGTCGATGAGAACGATTAGGAGGAACGGTGTACTTCTCTATTCCTCGAAGAAGTAGCTTGCATCGAACGCAGCCATCGCGTGCGGCCTCATACATGCTTGAGAGGCTGGTGACTCCCTCATGATCGCCATAACTATTGTAAGTATAGTCATGACTCCAATTGCAGCTGCAAGTGCTAAGTTCAGTCTTCTCTGACCACTTGGGTGCATGTGGTAGCGTCGGACTCATTTCGTGGTTGCGATGCGGGAGTATCCGTGAGATGTGGTGGGGTCTATGTGCCCGCTGTTCAGAACACGGCAGGCGATCTACATGCAGCAAAGAAGAGTAAGCAAGAAATCCTCTTTCCATAACTCCCACCAATCACCGCCGCACATAATGCAGCGCGTTGTACGATTTTGTGCGCTATGTCTCGTGGGTTGCGCCTTCGTGTCTGGCAGGCAGGCAAGAGCTACCCCGGACCCTTGAGCTATACACCAGGTGACATTCAAGCACGGGCTAGTTGCGTCGTCGATTTTTCGCAACCTTCTCAATGAAACCAAAGCATCACACTTCATGGCCGATGGAGATGACTTCGCAATGCCTACGGTGAAGGATGCAGATGCCCGGACGTGACACGACCGTGCCTCCCTTAGCGCGCTACGCCCCACAACGTCATCGCGGTACACCTTCCCTCCCCGTCAACCCAGCAACACCATGGACGCACCAGCGGGACAGCCGCTCCGATCTCTCCCTCTAACAACGAGACGTATCGATATCCAGAAGTATTTCACGGCGTTGACAGGCCGTGGAGCTGATACTCCCACGTATACTGTGGTAAACACTACGCGACGGGAGCTACTTCGGTGAGTACCTAGGTAACAGGGTAGACTAACGGCGCGTCGGCACTAACAAGCTACCAGAGCCATCCAGACCAGGCAATACACAGCGGACTGTATAAGAAAAGTCCGCAAGAAAATTCAAAAGTCCATCGATAAAGCTGGAGAAGGCGCCAGCTGGGACGAATGCTACAAGCCTGTTCACAAGTACCTGTGCTTTAGCTCCGCCCAGACGCGGGCGTATAACTCAGCCACCGAGTAAGATGGGTTGCTCTTGAACCTGCCTGACAATGACATTAATGGATGGTATAGGGACCTGAATCGTGCAGTCTATGACTATGGCGCGTTGTCTTGCAGAAGGTTGACTGGTGAGATCCTGAATCGTCTACCGGAAGATGTTCGAAGCAAAATCGCTGGATACTTGACGGACGAAGGCATACCAGTCGTACTGCGCGTACCGCCAGTTGCGTCTGATCAGACGTGTGCCGGCAGAAGCAGCGTCCGGGACGCGCTGGCAAACATGGTGACCGACGGCCGCAAACACCATCTCGACTGGAAATACATGGGCTACATGACACACCACGTCGTAACGACCTGGTTCCGCGTCAACACCTTCCTTGTCCACGACTCCGTGGCGTTGGATACTTTCTTCCGCGACATCTGGCTTGGCGACCAGGTCTTCCCTAGCATCGTACCTGCGGAGCACTTGCGTTGTCTAAGCGTGGTGTTGCGGGGTGAAATGAAAGACTACGAGCCTCAGAAACGTGAGTGTACGGGGAGGACTCTGTGTATTAGGCCAGTGAGGCCAGCGGAGGTGTTTAGCGAGCATCTTGAGCTTGTGCTTAAGATGAAGGAGCTCCGTGGCTTTGTGCTGCATGTCATGATTTCGGCGTCCGAGCTGGAGCGAGTTGAAGAGATTCTGAGCGCGGTGAGGGGCGTGAGGGCGAGACTGATGAGTGCGGGTGTGAGAGTGCTGTTTGATTGGAGAGGCGAGGAGCTGAATGGGTATTTCAGGGAACTGCAGAAGATTGGGGTATGAAGTAGTGATGTCGTTGGGTGAAAGTCCGTCGATATAAGAAGACGACTACCGCTCTAGCCCAATAAGACCCTCCACTTGCTGTGCAATCTTAGCAAACGCCATAGCACGCTCACCCTCCGGTTCCGCTACCACAGTCGGCTTCCCACGATCAGCGTCGTCGCTAATACTAGCATGTAGCGGAATCTCGCCCAGCATGTTCAAATCGTACTTCCCGCACATAGCTCTGATCTTGTTCATATTCCCAAACACCTCATGCACATCTCCGCAACCCGGGCATTTGAAGCCCGCCATGTTGCACACCAGACCCAGTAGCTTCACATTGACTTTGCGGAAGAGTTCGACACCCTTCACCGCGTCTTTGAGCGACAGATCCTGGGGCGTCGATACGATGAGTGCACCATCTAGAATGAGCTGCTGGGTGATTGTGAGTTGGACGTCTCCCGTGCCAGGTGGCATGTCAAGGACTAGGACGTCTAGACCGCCCCATTCGACTTCGTGCAGGAGTTGCTGCAGGGCTTTCATGACCATGAGACCGCGCCATGCTACTGGTGAGGTTTCTGGGATGAGGTAGCCCATGGACATGGACTTTAGGCCGTAGTTGGAGAGGGGGAGTAGTTGGTTGTCTGGGTTGTGGGATTAGAGGCTGGGAGGAAACTTGTTTTGTGTGAAGACTGACTTGCTGACAGTCGGGGCTCGCCAGATAGATTGAGTAGGGTCGGTATTGATGGGCCGAAGATGTCGGTGTCAAGGATGCCGGCCTTGTAACCACGACGCGCGAAGCTCAAGGCGAGGTTGACTACAACACTGCTTTAGTGTTCTGAGATCAGTTGGGTCTTGAATGGTAGAATATACCAGCGATAGTACTCTTTCCAACGCCACCTTTTGCAGACGAGACAGCAATCACTTTCTTCACATCTTTGATATTTCGCTTCTGTGGCAAGCCTCGCTGCATGCGCGGCATTTGCGGAGGCGCGCCTGAGCGCGGAAGACCCTGCGCTCGCCATCAGCTATTGCGCAATCAACCATCCCAGCGTTTAACATACGAGTGGGTTCTCATGCTGCAGACATCGCAACGTCGAGAACAACCGTGGCTTCAGCATCGTCGTGATAGAAACGGGGGTTGCGGAGTTGACGGCGGAGGTGACGCGCATCGGCGTTTCATTTAGCCGATGTCATTGAACTTTTTTGTGGGGCATAGAGTGAACTTTCTCTTCCGCGCGCTTCACCAGCACCAGCAACACCAAACCACTTGTACACAATGGGGAAGTCAAAGATTAGAGGTATGAACCCTTCGTATATGCGCGACTTGATTTTTGCTCATATGACCACCAGATTTCGATCCCGAGTCGCTACTCGACCCTGCGCCGAGCTCTAGCGAAGACGAGCGCTCTGACGCCGAACTCTCCGAAGTTGAAGACAACAATGCTGGGCGCGAACATTATACGTCAGTGGGAAAGAGCAAGCTGAGGAAGCCGGTTGAGGTGCCTCTGGGCCCGGAGTACACGGGGCGCAAGGTGGACCGCAAAGCACTCGAGGACAGCGACAGCGACGATCCTTTTGCGAAGGGCTTCGACGATATAGACAACGAGGCTAGCGATGATGACGAAGAGGATGGCATCAATGGCGTAGAGCTTGATGGCGAAGAGGACAGCGACGAGGACGACATGAACGGCGAATTCGACGAAGACATGAGCGACGAGGACGAGGATGTGGGAAGCGCAGGCGAAAGCGGGAGCGACAACGAGGCCAACGAATCCGAAGGCTCAGACGATGACGAGTCTGGCGCCGAAGCCAAAACCGATGCGTCCACCATCCGCGACCTCATGTCCGCCAACAAGTCCTTCACGTCGGGCATCGCTGCTGGCACGCAGTCCGACGTCGCCAAGGGAGAAGCTGTGAAGACCCAACGGAAGACGTTCGATACGCTACTCAACTCGCGCATTCGACTACAAAAGGCCTTGATCTCCACAAACTCCATGGCTGCAGAGCCATACAAGACAGAGACCGCAAAAGATGCGCCTATCGAGGCAGCAGAGGCAGCAGCCCTGACTCTCCTCAACAACCTCACGAACCTGCGCCTCTCCCTAGAAGAATCGCGAACGGGTACAAAGCGGAAGCGCCCAACCTTCGACTCCGCGACCCCATCGTCCGAAATCTGGACCACCATCCAAGCCAGCGAGAAAACCACGCTCCCCCACCGCAAAGCCGTCCTGGAGCGCTGGTCCAACAAAACCAAAGCCACAACCGTCACAAACAACAAAGCGCGCCTCAACGCATCCGCCCAGCAAACCCTAACCGAAGTCCTAGACACACAGCTCTCATCCCCCCACCTAGTCCTCCGCACCCAAACCCCGCGCTCTTGTGCCCCCCTCCAATCCTCGACCAAGACCCCCCAACCCTCGCCCGCCATCTACGACGACGCCGACTTCTACGGCCTCATGCTCAAAGAGCTCCTCGAGCAGCGCTCCGCCGACCTCAACAGCAACGGAACCGCTGAATTTGTTGTGCAGGCGCCGTGGCAGGTTGCGCGCGAGGCCAAGACGAAGAAGGTTGTTGATACGAAGGCGAGTAAGGGGCGGAGGTTGAGGTATACGGTGCAGGAGAAACTGCAGAATTTTATGGCGCCCGAGGAGAGGGGGTCTTGGGGGGATAGGCAGAGGGATGAGTTGTTTGGGAGTTTGTTTGGGCAGAGGGTGGGGCTTGGGGAGGGTGATGAGGTGGAGAGTGAGGTGGAGGAGGGTGTGGATGCTGAGGAGGCGGGGTTGATGTTGTTTAGGAGTTAGGGGATGGGGGGGTGGAATGCAGATTTATGTCGCGCAGCTGGTCTCATGTTATTTAGAACATGAAGGGGGCGGAGTAGGTGGAAGGCAGATTTGTGCCAGGAAGATTTTGGTGTGTTTTCGCTGTCCTTGCTATAAGGCTACCGATCATGGTGGTCGGGCTCAATTGCGCAGACCTACACCGCGTTGTTGACTGGTTCACGTTTTTGGTGGCGTATGTCAGCAAGCTCAGCCCCCAAACTGCCTGCGCATCTTCGTTGACTTGACCAATCTTATCTTAACCTTTCAGTCACTCGCTCAGCCATTGTTTCTCAGCCTTGTACTACCATGCCGTATCTATAAGGTAGCCTTCCCGCGCCCTTAATCCTGTTTTAGAAGACATCTTCCAGATACTCAGCCTTGAGACTTTTACGCTTTACCATCGGATTCCAAGCACGCACGCGATGACAGTTTGATCCGACATCAAAAAAGCATGCCACCTTTCAACGCACCGGGCTTGTATCTCGCGCCAAATGCGACGTTCAATGGTAGCATTCCGGCTAATGCGACAAATCGTGAGTTTCATCCCTTTCAGAGCTTGCCAACACCTTGTACTAACGCCTGCGTAGCTAACGATGCCACCGCCCACCAGGTTTCCTGGCAAAGCGCATATTGGCCAGTCATGGCTTGCATGTTAGCTGTGTTGTTACAAGAGACGGGAAGAGTCATGGAATCGCCGTTCCAATTTAGCTACGCTCTTCGCGCATGTCCTCTCGTTTGTGTGATTGACACATCGATGATGTTAGTCAAGTTTGTGATCATGCTAGCAGTTGGCTGTTCGCCTCGAACTGCAGTCAGGCATGTGTGGTACGATCGATTCGACCAAGACCAAGACGAACTCATCAGCTGGCACTTAAAGGAGGCTGGTAGATACTTTCGTGACGGTCCTCAAGACCTCCAATCTATAGGTGATGCAGGACAACGTTCAGCCAGCGTAGCTGCGGATATCACGATCGAGCCTGTCTCATCCGTCCTTCTGCGCGGAGATCCGGACCCTGACGAGGAATACATGTGCTCCGGTGCGCTTCCCACGGTCAGCGACCAAGAACCTGTGTTTACTGATGTACCATGCGCGTCGTTGCCACTCCCGGATGCTTTGTCTATTGCTAGACTCACACGCACTTCCACTATACAGGGCATGGACGTCGCTGAAGTTGGAATTAGTGTTACCGAGGAGCTGGAGCCGCCTGATGAGGGAATTCCAATGGAGTTGCTCAGCGATGTCTCAAATACCCTCACTGGACAAAATCAAACGATTGTTGACGATACAACCATAATCGCAGCGCTATCCCCATCGGCAAACGCCTTCACGATAACACCAAACTACATGGATCCCCCTCCAGGATCTACCGTCGACCGTGGCTGGAGATTAAGCATACTTAGCTTTGTCCTCGGCGCGTTTCCACAGGCTGTCAAAGTCTTCGCCATGAAGGGAGTTCCGTTCACACAGGTCTTCATAGCAATATTCGTTGTCTCATTCATCGTGCCAGAAGCTTTCCGCTCATTAGCTGGGCCTGTCGGCCAGTTCAATCTTTATCCTTTACCTATCGTCTTGAATGCGAAGTCACTGCTATCTCATGTATGGCTCTTATGCCTTTTCTATGTCTCGACTTTTTCGTGCATGGGAACGCTCTTCATTACATCAAGCTGGAAACTCGCAATAATTAGTAGTACTGTAGTGAAAGTTTCTGCTGTCCTGATGCTAGCGTCTTCGGTCGCCCTGCTGCTTTTCGGAGCCTTGCATTTCTTTCGCTCCCTCTACATCTTCGCCTGTACTCCGAATGGGATGAGATCTTACATGTACGATTCGAAGATGTTCCAGCATGTGCGCACCAAACTAGTGGCTTTCATTGCGGGATTGTTTGCGCTGAGCTCTTCTACCGTAGAGTGGTGCTTGTCTTTACTGTGCCTTTACGCAGTATGTCTGGTCGGAACTGTGTGGCTCTTGTGGGGCAAACCACTTGCGATTAGATTCGATTCAATCGGCGCCTTTCTGATCATGGGCGTATCAAGTTTCGGCACTCTGTTTCTTACATCCCTAGGTCCTTATGTTGCATATCGGGTCTTATTTATGGGCTACCCTTCCAACGCCGCCCGCCATTTGTGCGGTACAAAAGGAACAATAGACGAGTTTCTTAAGGGGATGTTCATATTAGTGAACTTTGCGACATATACTATAGC